CTCTAAAGGTCCCTTCCAACCCAAAGCATTCTATATGATTCTATGATTAATCATAAATAGATTTTATACTTTTGCTGTATTTAGGGCAATATAGCCTTGTTTGAGGCATGCTGTAAGGAGCGGATCCAGCAGTTTGATGATGGTGGATCTGATGAAGAAGACATTTGGGAAGAAAAACATATTGCATTTACACCAGAGTCCCAGAGGCATTCCAGGTAAGAAATGTGTTTTTCATCCAAATGGCAGTATAGTGAGCCCTCAGTACTGAGCATGTCTTTTGGTTCAGGCTGACTGTTAGCACAGGCTGTCCAACATAACTAGCTATTTCCAGTCTGTGGACAAATGAATAGAGAGATGGCTCTAGTGTCTGTCTTCCAGCCATAATTTGCAGAAGATGGCAATAGCTGCCCTGCCTGCTCAACTGTTCCTGCACTTCAGCTTTTGTAGCTTGTTTTTTTTCCCTGCTGCTTATTCTTTCCCTCTGCTTTTAAACCTGCTCAGCCATTCTTGCCTTGGACAAGGCAGTCCAGCTCCACACCTCTGTAGACCTTGCTGTCCTCTCTACGGTACCGGTGTGGTTGTGGACAAAACTGCGTAGGAAGCTGCGTTGAGGGGAAGGAGCATCTGGTCCCCAAAACTCTCAGGGCTGTGCAGCCTCCCTACTGAATTTTGTCCCTGAATTTTGTCTACTGAATTTTGTCCCAGGGTAGTTTTGGCTTTTCTGACCTTCTTGCAGCTTGAGTCACAAACCCCATCTCTCCTTCCCTTGCAACCTTAGAAATGCACGTGGCTAATACCTTCTGTACAAAATCAATTCTTTTGTCTGATGGTGTTGTGGTTACTTAATGTGATGTTTTTCGGGGACATCCTTGCCTTCTCACATTACCTGGCTTTTTGTGTTACTTGCATTCACCACGAAGGGAGAGATGCCCATAGGGTTTAAAGTATGTATGTAGCTAAAGAGGATGGACTGGAATACAACTGGGGAGATTTCAGCGCTTCCATTCAGTGTGAAGAGACCAAATAGACCAACAATCTCTGTACACAGATCTGATTCCTTACTTTCCTTTTCTGCTCTCTTTTGTATGGCAGGAGTAAAACCAATCTTTTGTCTTTTACTTGCATATGGAGGGAAAAAAAGATAGCCTTTTTACATGATCAAGTGAAAAACCTTAAACCTTGGTTTTTTGAGAAAGAAATGAGAGGAATACTAACAGCTAACAAATTATACGTCAGTTAATCTATCAGAAATGATAGCTGTTGTAATTCTCTTTAGCCTCAAACTCTCCAGCATTTGATTATGCCCAGCGTCTGATACTAAATACAGAATGTAAACTACTTCTTTCTGTTTTAAGTTCGGGCAGTACGGACAGTGAAGAAAGTACAGATTCTGAAGAGGAGGATGGAACAAAACAAGACTTGTTTGAATCGCGCACCAATACAGAGGACAAAATGGAAGTAGACTTAAGTGAACGTACGTAGCTCTTCTCCCAGCTGCTTTGAGTTATAGGAAAGTGTTAGATCTAGCAGTCTTATTTTGTAGGAGTGTTCCTCATTTACCATTTTTATTCCAACTATCTTAATAAAAGAGTCTTTCCTACTGTAAAGAGTGCTTGCAGCAGAGCATGCAAACGTTGGGAAGTTTGAATTCCTTAAGCGTATTGAGTCAAGTTACTTAGTCTCTCTAAAATTCATGTTTCTGCTCTTCAAGAGGAAAAAAAGGAGGAGGAATCAGAAAGTGAAGGATGAAATGTGATCGTTTATACATCTTGAATGCCTGCAAAAGTAATAGACTGTTAATCTCCAAACCTAAAATATAGCTGTTTTTACTGGAAGCCTTTCAGACCAACTTTTCATCTAACAGTGCTCTTTTAAAAGACTTCCTACAGAAGCCAAGTGAATTTGCATTGGTCTGGTTTCATGTGTGAGTGGAAGACGCGCATCAGTAGACTCTGTGGAAACTTAACTAAAGTAATTTGTTCAAAAGTTTTCACATTCAAGTCACAGTAGACTAAACTGGCTTTAGTTAAACTGGCAATATCTGTAGGTAAAAGCCCTGTGTTTATCTAGACTGTAAGGAATTAAATTAAAATAGAAGGAAAAGTTAAGGGTTTTCTTTTCTTTTGTCAGATTGGTGTCGTTGGCATCTGTGTGTCAAACAAGTTTTGATCCATGTGGGTCTCCTCCCATATCTGCCTGGGTTGGAATTTCTAATTGCTAGTCAGAGCTTCCTTTTCAGCCTGTTTTTTTGTAAGTGTTAATGAAAAACGTTTCCCTTGGGTAGGTGAAGTGTTTTGAATTGACCTATCCTAAGTTAGATACTGTTAAGTCACAGTTGCTCTAAAATCTAAAATCCCAGTAAATATTTTAAGTTGTAAAAAGCCTTAAACTTTTCTGAAACTTAGCGGTGGTGTTAGTGCATGAGAAATTATTTAGAGACTGCCCATACCTAAGTTGACATGCTCGTTTTCTGTGTTCAGGAAAATGTGCATAGGAAACTGAAAAGGGGGTGAAAACTCTTAAGTGGTTTGTTTTTTTTTTTAACAGAAATTAGTTTTGAAAAATTATAACAAATATGTTGATGTTTGTTTAAAGAATAAAGTGGGATTGTACTTGTGATCTAGTATGGTTTATTGTTTTTGTTCTTCAGATAAATTACATCAATTTTTAGCAGAATACTCCAAGTTACTGTTTTTAAAATTCTGGCTTACTAGCAGAATTTCCCTTTTAGGGAATGCGATAGTTTTTTAACGAGAGGATTCTTTTGCATGTACTTTAAAGTCTAGTTATGAATTTTTCTGCTTTTTTTGGAACGAGAATCAGTGTGTTAGGTATATGTGCACTCATGTTCTTTATTTAGATTTGTTCCTAATGAACTTGTTGGATGGTTTTTCAGCACCAAACTGGTCAGCTAACTTTGATGTACCCATGGAGACCGCACATGGTGCCAGTCTGGATTCTGTTGAGTCTCATGTGTGGAGTACAGAAGAACCTATGCCAGCAAAAGAAACTGGCTGGGCTTCCTTTTCAGAGTTCACATCCTCTTTGAGGTAAGAATGTTAGTAATTCAGGGCAAGTTCTACAGTACTAAATGTAATGGCAGCCATTTGGGTTTTTTGGGGTGTCCATCTCTACCCAAGCCTGTGTTGGTAGTGTTCTGGTGGAATACAAGGTGTATAGTGTTCAAAGGGCCCCATGTGTTATAACAGTATGTCTTTGTATGATCTACCTCATAGCAGGCTTTTGTAGGATGGGTGGATCCTAGTGTGTCATTGTTTTAGAGGGTTTTTAAAGAATACTTGGATCGTTTAATATTGGCCTCTGACCAGAATTTGGGCTGTGATTTTTTTATTTCTATTTTTTAGTGTAGAATGAACCCAGTGAAGGGTTGAATGTGAACTGTTGAATGTAAACGTCATAAAATGTCTATGATGATTCTGTTTTGTGGATGTTGTAAAACAAATAGGTTTTGGTTTGGTTTGGGGTTTTTTTGTTGTTTTTTTTTGTTTGTTTGGTTGTTTTTTTGAAAACTTGCATGGTTAAGCAGCTGTGATACCTAGGTTAGGCAGTTCTGCACTATTTTGAGAATGCCTGAGATACACTTTATTTTTTTAGCTTGAACTCTACATAAAAAAATAACTGAAGGCCTCTGTGTAAGTACCTAATCATACAGATGTAAATTTTGAGTTGCCAAATACTAGCAGTCAAGAACTGATTCCTTCTCCAATCAGAAGACTCTTCCTTTTACACATCTGGCTCTCAATTGTCTGTCTGGGCATTAAACAGATTGGATATAAAAGTGTGATTTTTCCAAAATAAACCAGTCTATTGTTTCATGCTTGAGGCAGATAAGTTGATAACAATATAATTATGGGTTTAGAAAATGAAGACTTGGAGTTGCCACATTAGTGGATAGAAAAGACATTATTCTATAAATGGTGAGAAGTGTTTCAAGTGGCCAAATCTTGTCTTTTGAGTTCCTTTAGAATGAAAAACTTGGAGCTATACTGTATATATGATTAAGTAGTAAAATCACCTCTGTGGTGGATGATGAGGACTGCTCTACTACTTGGAATCAAACCAAATAAAACAAGTAAAAATAAAACCACCGCCAAACATGTACTCAGTCAGCTTAGTTGTGGTGGATTTTGCATTACTAAACTTCTGTTTAGTGTGTCTTCCCAAGACTCCTACAAAAAGAACTTGCAGTCATTCGGTTTCAGTAGAGTTCTAGGCCTCAGCTCTGATATAGGTCTAAAAATAGTGTTTTAAGAACATTTAATTCTGCTATTCAGAAATGTTTCTAAAGGTTTTTTACTTTGTATTTGAAGCTCAAAAGATTCCTTAAGAAGTAATTCTCCTGTGGAAATGGAAACAAACACAGACCCAATTGATCCCTTGAATGCAAATGTAACTGCCCTTGCAACACAGCTAGAGAGTAAGTACACAGCATTCGGAAATGCAAACAGATTGATTTCAAGAGTTGTACCTGAGAAAGATCTCCCTGAACTTTAAAATCTAGGTTTTCAGAGACCTCTCATCTGGCTCTGGTGGTGTTCTGCCAGGTAGTGAAAATGACTTGTTAAAGAATTTCTGAACTATTTAAAATAGTTTCCTATTTAAAACAGGAGCCAGTGTTACTGTTACCTCTAAAAAGCCTGCACATAGTGAACAGAAAAGCACTACAAAGTAGCTGAGTGTATTCTGTTAGAGAATCCTCACCTGTGTCAGCACTTAATTAGCTGAGCTGATGTCTGAGAAGCGTGGTAGCCTCTAGTCTCTTTCGATGTGGCAATAGGCTAGTAGCCTCAATGTGTTCAAATTTCCCCTTCCTGCTCATTCCTTTCCAAGTTACCTTCACTGTGCATGCACTAATTTTTTCTTCTACATGCATGAACTGGTTAAAGGCCAAACACGTGCTAACTAGCTTTTTGTGTATGTTATTAACAGACAGAACAATAAATGCAGATGAGAAGTCCAGGGAGACTTGATTTCCCGAAGGCTTGTCTGTACTTGGAAACTTACTGTCAAATTTGTAGTGTGTGAGCTTGTGTAATGAATTTGACTGTACAGAAAAATAATACATCACTATAATTGTACTAGAGTCTTGTTCAGGCAAGCCTGTTGCAGTAACCATTGTCAATCTAAATCACTAAGTGGCTTGCAAAATGAAAAAAAAAAGTTACGGAAAGTGACTTTTACTTAAACCATCTGTAAGAAGTACTTATGCTCTATATATGTGTATAGTGGGGGTTGCAGAAAGGTGGCTTTCTCTGTAAGGAAGGATTCAAGAAATGTACAAAACTGAAAAAATACCATTCTGGTTGTATTGGCTTATATGCTTGCTCATGAAATAAAAACATAACCAGCTATGTACTAAATTACTTCTATATATCTAGCCCCAGGAAGTGTTGCTATGGAGGCCAGCTCAGATGGAGAGGATGATGTAGAAAATGCAGACAAGGTAACTGAAACAGTAATGAATGGCAGCATGAAGGAGACACTGAGCCTTACTGTAGATGCTAAAACTGAAACGGCTGTTTTCAAAAGGTGAGAGTGCATATTTATCATCTTCCCACCCTTGTAAAATAAGCACTGTTGATGGAACACTACGTGTCATCAAAAGGAGTTCTTTGCACGTTATAATTCCTGAGGCTTTAATTTGAAACCTTCTTTCAAAGTAATGGTTTTGAAATTTTACTTCCAGTTAGTTACTGTAACATATGACTTTCTTTATCAAGCCTTAATTTCAGTGGTAGTGGAAGGCTGACTCAATAACTTTTGACCCTGATGCACATTATTGTGCATTTTTATGTACAATTATTCTTCTAACATACAGTTAATTGCACATCAAAGCTAAGCTTTTTAAATTTTGCACAGAGTTGTTAGATTTGGATTAGAATTCCATCCCTCTCATCCAGGAGGATGCAGGACATTAGTTGAAGGCAAGCCAGGCACTGCTCTTGAGAGTAACTCATCAGACATTTAGGGTGTTGGTGGTATGGGTGATGGGGTCAAATCTGTTCTGTACTACAAGTGGCACATAGAATTCTAGAATAACCGCAAGAGAAAACTCCTTAATTCTGGTATCTTCTGATACAAAGTGTTTGATTTGGGAATAACTGTCTTACAATATGGTTATATTCTATATTCCATATATCAAAATTGCAGTCCTTTTATGGGAATAAAGCACACTTCCATTTTGTCTACCTGAGATCTTGTCTACTAAGATCTTGTGATCTTAGATTTAATGATCAAGTGTTTTTTATTTTGTATTAAATCTTTATGTAGGGA